TTAACATTCTGAATATAATGCTCATCACATCTTCAAAAGAAAAGTTTAGGTTATTAGTTATGAAATATATATACAAGATATTGTTGCTAAATTGTTGTCATTCTGTTTTAACGTTCTAAATAATATAGTTGTAACAGTTTTTATATATATTTTACATGAATTACTAGAATTCATTTCTACCTTACGTTATACTAGGTTAAATGACTTTCAACTACTTTTGTATTAATCACTCATACTAATAATACATGGCACTACAGTATGCATACACACATACTCTCCATTGATACATCACTTGCAAAGCCATAAAAAAATAAAAACAGTTCACAACTCTAACCAACCCTTGTTAAACTGTAACAAATCATCACACTTACTATCACTCATGTCCAAAAACCACTTACAATTGAATGCAAGTTGTACTGAAGTCTACTAAGTGTCCTCTGATCTCATTGTCAATGCAAAGGTCTGTGGCAATTGTCTTGATGGGATACCCTGAGAAAAGTCCATTTGTAATAACCAGTGGAACCACTTGTGGGATGATAAAAGCTGGTCTTCTTGTGTTCATAATGCACCATAAGACGTAAACACATACCATATCCATGAAAAACATAATGTTTATAACGCTCATAATATAGAACACATGGTTACATACTTATGAAAATAATATGGACATTTTCAAATAACTCTCACACTTTCTACACATCACATCTACGTTCAACACTAACAACTGTTCATTAGCATAAAAATTAATGACTCTTACTTTCCTCAACTATTGTTTATTGTTTATATTTACTACTTTTTACTAAGATTAGTTTATAGTATTTTTCTCAGGAAAAATACTAAAAATCACTCAGGAAGAATATTTATCTAATAAAAAATTAAACTGATTATTTTTGAATTTGAAAAGCGTAAGGAGAAGCTTTGAGATTAAAGTTGTAATAATAAAGGTTTTATTATAGTCCCAATTTTTATTTGATGTTAAAATAACTTATACAATGAAAATTAAAAAGTAACTTAACTATGAATATAAAAATAACAAAATAAAAACTTACTTCTAATGTACATTGCTTTCTTTTATAGAATTTGTGAAATCTTTAACTTGGTTTTTAAATCAACTACCATTTTTAGTTTATGATGTGAAAGTTAAACATTTGTTTTCAATGTTTAACTATCAAAATCATTTCTAACAGTATGAAGTTGAAGCATATAAGATCAACCCAAAAGAAGTAAAACAATATTAAACATTTTACAGTATTTTCTAAAATAGTTTAATTTAAAGTAATAAAAACTATT